AGAGAGAGAGAGAGAGAGAGAGAGAGAGAGAGAGAGAGAGAGAGAGAGAGAGAGAACGAGAACATGAGTCACCCAGAGAGTGAGAGAGCTTTGCCAGTAAAGAGGGAAAGGCGACGGGCACACGACCCTGCTGACCCAGATGCAGGTGAGCACGCGATGTCAGGCTACACTGCACGGCGCGGTACGCCCTGGCACGGCACAGAAGCTTCCCCACGCGCGGAGTCGAGTTAGCTGATTTTGTTACGGTTGCCGTTAATGCCGTTACTATTAAAACTATCTTTGTTAAACTAACTTTTTTAACTATTAAAACTATTATTCTTAAGCAAAGCGATAAAGTGCGAAGTGTCTCATGGCATAGCTGGCTCCGCATTCGGGAGATCTGGGTTCAATGCCCTGTGACGGAAGGTTTGGTGTTTTTTCCTTGTTCATCCAGGCGAATGCGAGATGGTTATACTGAAAGGCCACGATCGCGAAAGCGGCATCGCTAGCAGAGCCCGTTAACCACGTGAAGTCACACCGGTTACGCGAATTCCTGACATTGCGGATTCCTATTTGGGTGACCGACTGGGAACCCCGGTATCTAACAGCACCGCGACCAATTGCCCTTCACGGCTCGTATAATGACTAAATCCAAATGCAAATTATCGTTGTTACTATTAAAATAATTTTCTTTTTAGTCGCTATGTTTCATCATGAAATTAATTCATCATTCGAATCAGAAGATTTGCGTCCTCTTAAGCCGATCTCATATAATCTATATTACTATTTTTCGAATGCGCGCAGAAGTTGAAAGTCAATTAGCTGCTGCTTCCGGCGATATGAGCTATGTCTATGGTTTTGATAAAGATGTAGAACTCGGGAAAAATCTAAAACAATGAAACAATTTTGATTTTGACCTAAAAATGCAAATTTTCGATTGTGTTAGTACGCCTATTCTCGTACTGCACGAATCAACTTTATCTTACTCAGTGTGCCTCTGATTGACGTTATGAGACAGCAAGACTGTGGGAAGAAGTCGTCTGTCATTGTTAACTATGTCTTGCAATAGGCAATAGCAACTTTTTGATATTTTTGGCGTTTAAAGAACTATTGAACTGGGTGTTATTGCAGCATACGTTGAGATTGTTTTTGGTACACGTGTATAATTGTTTTATTGTTATACCGTTCATGTTACCGTATACATTTCTGTTTAGAATTCTGTGTAGAAATGAATCCTAATGTTTCAAACAGTTTTAAGTTCAATTTTCTGGAAAAAGAATATTATGAACTTGTCATGTGTGTATAGAATAATATTTTCGCAATCTTCCTTCTGATTAAAAAGCATTACGTAACTTTCTCTCTACTTCATCGCGAGAGAGTAAAAACTATGACGTGTTGGTAAAACCAATATAATAGTTTAGGATAATAGTAAAGGATTTTGGTTTTTACTCTGAATCAAATTCCTTAATTTGGTATCCTT